TTATTCAAACTCAACAAGGTGCGCGCTTATTGAATAGTAAGGCGAACAGTTTTTTCCTCGAGTCATGTAAACTGGCGTAGACATAATTCATCTTTACGAGCATGCCAGACATTTTAATACGTCTAGAGCGGGTCTGGGAAGCACCGCATTCCCCAAGGGACTAATTACTGAGTCTCTGAGTTGTTAAAGCTCCGCTCCCAACGAACCAGGAGTATTAATGCTGATCCATCCGCACCTAAATGATTCATTAGAGGCGATTAAGTGGAGTCGATTACTTTACAACCCGTTTTTTTCTTACAAATTCATCGTCTACTCGGTAAATAATTAGTTTCGCTGATTAGATATCGGAACTAAGTTTGCAAATTATGCCAGTTAAGTGAATAAATGGCGGTTTCAGCGAATTCTGGGATTGTCTTCTTAGGCATGTTCCCGGTGAAAAATCCGTTCTTGTTATTCTGTCGAAAAATATTTGTCATCATGTAATTCAATTTGAGTGGCATGTTTATTATGTCGGATGCTTAATGGACCGCCGCTCAGTTTAGTCGGCTCCACCGAAATACGAATCCCTACGACAGTTTCGTTGACAAATTGTTCGTGTTTCGCTTTTTCGTATTATAAATGCTGCTGCTGCTCCCCAGTTGGATGAAACATTTATTATTTATCCTGGTTTCAGCAACAGAATTATAATGCCGTGAATTTTGAACAGTGCTTTCTCCCTAAGCATGAATAAAACATAAATATACATTTTTATTTTGCGAACAGTTTATAATGCTCATGTTGAATAGTTTGCACGTCCTACTCTGACGGTTTTTTACAGCGACAGTTTAACGGAGGAATTTAACCAAGTCAATTGCTTCAAATGTTTGGATGCAGAAAACCTTCAATCTATCCACTAAAAAACCCAATCAGAATCAGAGTCAGACGAATCCTTCAAACAAGAAATCATTATTTATCTGGCAATTGGGTGGACGATATCAAATTAATTTCATGTCACGTTAGCGATGTAAAGTAAAAAATGGTGGAAGATTATTAAAAATAATATCAGCAAGGCAGGCATTAAAACGTATGGGACTTGAACAATCCATTCTCTGCGCTCTTGCTACATTGGTAGCATCTTAAACATCCGAAATGGCCGCAAAAAACCAATCAATCGGCCATTATTCTGTACGAGCATCGAACGCTCTTCCGACAACTTATTCGCTACAATCATTATCGGAGTGCCTAACGTTCCTTACCCGTGCGTTTGATGAGACCAACTTAGACAGAAGCTCTAGGTGGCCCCATTAAGCTGCCCCTCTGTGCATTTTTGCTTTTTGTGCGGCACAATTAACAATTAACCATAACTGGCGTTCTCGCGATGGCATTCCACAAACCACTGACCATCATCCACCGCAGGTTTATTATGTAATTATCATAGTCGAACAAAGAAAAAGACCGATGGCAATCAGCCAATTTTCTTCGTGTTGGAAGGCTCTTTGCCGATGGTCTTATCAGAGTTTTTTTACCCTGACTATTAGGATTAGGTAAGGACTTTACTAGTATGTTCTTACAATCCTGAACTTCCGCAAGTGCGCCCTCAAACACTCACTTTCATCCCGTTCTTTTCGCTGGTTTTGCTGACATTTTATGGGGTTTTTATGGTCCAGGGTGAGTGAAACTGGGTGTCTCCACTCGAGTGTATGAAAAATAAAACGATAGTGAAACATTGTGTTTATATAAATAATATTGTTCAAGTCGGAAGCAAGAAGTTCAGCGGGGTGAAGTCTGGATATTTAGGCGTCCAGTGAAGGGGTTTATTTATAACTATCCAATTTTCTTCATGGATTTGATTTTAACATAATGAGAATAGTGTTTCAAAATATCGTTCAATATCTAAATTTTTTCCTTGAAAATAAAGACTAATCAAATGTCCATTAATAATCCCATAATAGGTCGGGTTGAAAAATGTGAGTTTTCAGTGGTCAAAAATTTCTCAATCTCGTTTAAAAAATTATTTTCAGAATGTCTCCAGTTTTTGGTGCTTTTTACATGTATAACAGTGTTCGTTTAAAATTTAAACATCATTGAACAGTTAATGACTGCAATACGCTCTAAAACAAAAAAGGACTCCAATGGCTCTGACGGTTTTATAATAAAAAAACTGTACACATTTTATCCCTTCTGACAAATCTTCGACAGTTTCAGCAATTTATATCGAAAGTACCTACGGTTGGTTCCGAGTGACTGATGAAAAAACTCTGGCAATACAAACACACGTTTCTGTTTGATGTTGTTAATAATAATGAAGAAAACAACATATATTGCCAGTCAGCTGTGTGGAGATGTGGAGAAACATTTATTGGCTTTTTCAACCGGTAGCACATAAATTCGACATGGCAAAAGACGGATTCTTTTTATTTTTCGGAAACCCCATTAAAAGTTTTTGTCGAGCCGGCAGATAATGTTCGAGGAAAGCGATTGCTTCCAGTTCGAGTACGCCATACTTCATCATTTACACGAGTGAATTGACTTCAGCCGCAGTTATATCCCTAGATACACATTGTTCGGCTTGTAGATTAGATTGATTGCTCGTTTAGATGATTAGAGCGGTTTTCTGCTTCGTTTGACCCGGTAGTTTGTATAATGAAACGTAAAATTAAAGTTACCTTTTCATAAAATCGAAAACGTTTTATGTGCTGTTGGGTGGTTGGTTTTATCATCTGGCTCGAAGGACCAGGAAATAGTTGCTCAACAAATTAACTGATTCTTGCCGCTGAATCTGCTCTGGTCGACCCATTTCTAAGCGTTCCCTAAAAACCTTCTTTTATTCTATTACTTTTTGTTTGTGCTATACATCGAGTTCGGTTTCACAAAAAAAATCCTTTTAATTGGCAAATTATTAATTCATAACAGTGCATGATGATTCGCCTGAAATAAGAGAAACCTGGCCGTTACTAAAGTCTTCACTAATTACATTTTAAATATTCACTTGTGGCTGCAAGCAAAATAAAAAACCAATTAACCAAATTGAAAACAACAGCAGTCAGCCATTCAGACTAATTAATTTCTTACGTCTATAGAGAAGGAAGTTTGCGCGAAGAATCTCGAAAAGTTTTCCACCCTCGTCCGCGATCGCTTATTCATTTCCTTCGACTCACAAAAACAGAAAACTGGAAGATTAAACTTGTCTTAATAAAAGTGGGATTAAATAATTCAAAGTTCCATCTCCGCATACTTTCGTTGATTCTCGCGAGTGAAACTTTCCACGACTTATTTGAATCGAATTAAAACCATCGTCAGACCACTCTACTTGTATTTAATTTCCATCTGGAGAACAAGGAGTTTGTAATCAGACGTTCGCTGTTGCTTATTTCTTTTCAAACTGTCATAGAACAGAAAAATTCGTTTTATGCTGAAACATTCCAATTACTTGCCACTTGATTTAATTAAAATTAAATGAGATAAAGTTAAGTTTTTTGTAGCTATTAAATTTTTCGTTGGTGAATAATTCGTTGTCGGGGAACGAGGCGATCTCCAAGGGCATAAAAGTAATCTTTATTATTCATATTATGCAGCCCCGACCCGAGATAAATTGAATTAGTCGCTTTTCTCGTGCGATAAAGGGGTGCTGTTATTAAACTTTCTGGCACGAACCTTTCTCGTTTCTTCAAGGACTTTTTGACCGTGAAAATTTTATTTTCTTTTGCCCCTTTACAGCGCAAATTATGCTCTCAAATGGGCTTTTTCTCGGATGGGCATTATATAAATATTCGGAAAATTAAGGGATTATTTCCGTGCAGGTCTGTAAAATGTGTGTGCAAAAAGATCCGCTCTAAAAATTGCACAGCTAATTGCTGTTGAAACATTTATAAAAAAAGTGAATCTTGAAGTTAGTTTCAAACTCATTCATCATGCTTCATGTTTGGTTTCACTTCGGTACCCAAGATGTAAATCTGAGTTTCAGATTAATAAAGTTTTGAGGAGCCGTCTAGGACTTCAAGGAACTCATGGCAAATGTTACATAAGTGTCAGGTAATTGCAAACGAGACAGTAAGGTTTGGAATGCATAATGCAACAAACATGGATAATCCCTTGAACTACTTAATAATGCCAAGTAATCGCTAGTAATGCCCAATAATGCCGGATAATTTTCAACAACTTGCACAGAAAATTAAGCAGACTTGAAACAGCATTAAAGTGTTGAATTAGTGATAGGAATAATCGAATTGTTTTTATCACTGCGTTTTCTAATATCCCCGATTTAATAATAAAAACTAATTCGAATTATTTAATCGCGTTTTTATACAGGGTGATAACTTCGGAAGTCAATAGAATATTGGGACAATAGTTTGCGCGCGATTTCCGGCTGTGGATCAAAGAAAGTGCCATCAACTGTTTTTTACGCATAACTTTTCAACCATCGATGCTATTAAAAATATTTTAATGCTCTTTTTTTTTTAGTTAAAAATACCTACAATATCAGACAAACTCAATTAAAATCCGTTCATTTGTTTACTCAAAAAACAAAAAAAAACTTAAAAAAAAATTTATTCTGATTAATTTTTGCTTCTAAAAAGCGTACCATAACTTTTTTGAAGATCTTTGTTCACTTGTGTTGTTATACTACAATGTACAATAAAATAAAAGTTGATTACTGAAGGGTAAATTATTTTCAGAAAAAAATGCCGCACAACAAGCGTTTAATTATTGCTCAAAGCAATTTTTTCTTCTTAAGTGACAAACGTATCTTAATAATACCGTGAAAATAGGACGGCCCCCAGTTAGTAGTTCACTGAAAAGAAGCCCTTTGTTCCTAATGCGATATTAAGCCTTATTCTATATTAATTATATTTATATAATTGAGTTTCCGAGTAAATCAAAAAATTCGTTCCGATCAAATTAATCGAGCGAATTCGATTTTTCCATCTAATCACGATTTAAAATACAATAATCTTGATATTACAGCTAGGTAAACATTGATGGAATTTTATACAGTTTGACTGAATGGCGATTTTTTTCAGGGCTCCGATACAAGCTCAGTAATCTTCCCTTCAGCGCCGTCGGTGCGAAAACACGAATTTCCTGGCGCGCTACCACCCAGCCTGCCTCAAGGGCTACCCCATGGACCGGGTAGCAGCCCCCTGCCAGCCCCTACAGCCCCCAAGTTGCCGGCACCGTCACCCGCGCCCGCTCAGCAGCCCCCGCATCATCCGCCCCAAGCAATTCCGTCGGCGGCGGTCGCCCCTGCTATGGGTGAAAGTGCCTCCCTGGGCGGCGCCGCTCAGCCAATGGGGGGCGCCGTACAACCACAAGAGGCCACCATCAAGCCGGAGATTCCAGTTATGGGTGCGAAAATGCCGCCAGTAACTGTACAAGGTGAGTGTGCTTTGGAATAGGATAGATATTGATGACCATCTATTTGCCTCGATCTAATGTAAAACGAGGGTTTCTTGCAATGCCGTGATACATCTACGGCTTAAAAACACCAATTAAATCCTAAATGAGTTGATCTGGTTACATGAGCAATGTGAATTGAAACCTGTAATTACCATCATTAGCGAATAAAATGCACTGCCTTTAATTGGCTGTTTACAGCACATTAATTGTTAGAATAAATCGTAAAACGAGCAAGAACGGATCCAGGGGGGGTCATGGGGGTCATTTAATTCAATTCTCCCATTCAATTCTCTATCCAACGATGTCAAAACGAATTCTGTGGCTCGAATGGTTCTTGAGGAACTTCGAAAAAAGCAGCGTCATGTTCAAGTGGATTTTCCAACTCAAAAAAAAAACACGCAAATCTAAAACTTCTTGAATTCAAGCCTTTTTTGAGAAAACTGCCAACATTTCCCCATCCATGGTTGACTTTCTAAAAAGTCCATTTATTTATCTCTAGAATGATGTACAAATGAGCGTTCCTGCTCATTTTGCCTCAGAGATATAAGCAAAAACGGGACGGAAAACATGGAATTTTGGCATAATCTTGCACCTAAGTGTCTGATATTCAAATTTCGCTTTCTGGGTCAAAACTACTC